TAATAGTAATAATAAATATAATATTATATATATAATAGCTATTAAATTATATATATATATAACTTATATATATGTGCGCCAGATGGTGGCGTGATCATGCTGTTAATCCCAGCACTTTGATGCGGGAGGTGGGGCCAGATCGTTTGAGGTCACGAGTTTGAGACCAGGGCCTGGCCAACATGGATGGCAAACGGCCACCTCTACCAAATACCACAAAAATTAAACCCTGGCACTGCGGGTTGCACTGTGCCTGTAATTTCCCAGTTCCCTCAGAGAGGCTGAGGCACGAGGAATCACTTGAAACCCAGGGAGGGTGGCGAGCGTGCTGTGAGGCCAGATCGCTGCCACTCCACTGCACTCCATCCTGGGTGACAGAGTGAGACCCTATCTCAAAAAGAAAAATATGGCCAGGTGCGGTGGCTCACCCCCGCCCGTAATCTCAGCACTTTGGGAGGCTGAGGTGGGCAGATCACTTGGGGTCAGGAGTTCGAGACCAGCCTGGCCAACATGGTGAAACCCTGTCTCTACTAAAAATACCAAAATTAGCCGGGCATGGTGGTAAATACCTGTAGTCCCAGCTACTTGGGAAGCTGAGGCAGGAGAATGACTTGAACTCGGGAGGCAAAGGTTGCAGTGAGCTAAGATTGCGCCATTGCACTTCAGCCTGGGCGACAGAGCAAGACTCCACCTCAAACCAAACCAAACCAAAACAAAACAAAAAATTTGAAAAAGTAAAAAATTAGATTTAGAAGATTGAATTCAGAATACATCCGGGAAGGGGAGGTAGAATCGGGAAGATTGAGTATGTGCCTTTTCTATTTGCAGTGCAGGAACAAAGTCTCCTTGCAAAACCTGTCAATGGTGCTTCGCCAGCTGCGGACTGGCACTGAAGATGAACGTTCTCACCATGTCATGGACAGTGTCCGACAGGCTAAGCTGGCTGTTCAGATGGATGTCCATGATGGCCGCTCCTGGTGTGAGTGCTCTCAAAAGATATCCAACAGGGTTCTAGAGCAGATGTTTTCAATCAGAGCAACATTTGCAGTCCATCTTTTGAGTCTGCCTCTGAGGTTTAAGCCAGGGCATCTTTGTTTTGAAGACACACGAAAGACATTTTGGTGAACTGCTTTTCTAGGAACTCTTCGATCTTTTGATCCTAGTTTTCACATAAGCAAGGCAGGGCTTTTGTACGGTCTGTTCAAATTTCAGTTTGGGGTCCTTGTTGCTCTATTGTAGGGGAATTTTGGGTATACTAAGTATCGTGTCGTTCTTGATTTGGGTTTCATGTGGGACCTCTCAAATATACTTTCAAGAATGATCAAAATAAGTCATATCTTGAACTTGGACTCTGAGATGATTCGTCACTGTGTTTCTCTTTCAGATATCCTTGGGAATTCATATCTTTCCCTTTACTTCTCTACTGGCCAGAACCCAAAGATCTCCCAGCAAGCCCTCAGTGCCTATGCCCAAGCAGTAAGTACTTATGGTCACCAGGCCAGATGAATAGGCAACAACAGAAGCAAAAGCATTGTTCAGTCTTCTCTGTGGCCCTTTAGCAAGCATCACAGGCAGTGGCAGTGTTTGCTGGCATCTCATTTGTGTGATTTTGCAAAGATGTGTCTGCAGAGATGACTGACTTCTTATAACGTGAGTGTGAGGAACCACTTGCATCGTGGTGCGTTGATGCTGGATAGCTCCTTAACCTGTCTGGGTTTCTTACACACATATATAACCAAATCACAGAGCTGCCTCAACGTGTTCATCTTTCTTAATGAGAAGAAAGTAATTAAAATAATGCTTATTAATATTTTTGTACCTTCTTTTTTTTTTTTTTTTGAGACGGAAGTCTCACTCTGACCCGAGGTTGGAGGCGTGCCAGATCTCAGCTCCACTGCAAGCTCCGCTCCCCGGTTCACGCCATTCTCCGGCTAGTTTTTTTGTATTTTTTAGTAGAGACGGGGTTTCACCGTGTTAGCCAGGATGGTCTCAATCTCCTGACCTCGTGATCCACCCGTCTCGGCCCTCCAAAGTGCTGGGATTACAGGCTTAAGCCACCGCGCCTGGCCACATTCATTTTAAAGAACAATGAAAAACTTATACTTCAGTGTAAATTAAGTGCTATTCCCAAATTAACCGTTAGATAATATGGCTCTGGATTTCCCATGGGCTGAAAGAGAAAACAATGTGTAGCTTGTTCTGTGTCATTCCTAGGAATTAAGTGAATTAGATTATTTAGGTTTTCGAGAAATTTGTTTAGGTTTTCAAGCATTTTTGTATTGATAGGCATTTGCATAGGGCTTTCCCTTAGACTTTGAGTGCCTTTTTTCTCATTATTAGAATTGGCTTCTGACTTCACATTGGTCCTCTGAGCACTTTTTATTTAGCTCTCATATTTACCTTTCTTCTTTTGCTTCTCTTGATACAGAGAATTGCTTTTTAACTTATCATTACTTACTCTGCTCCGTGTGGTAGAATAAAGAACACAGCTACTGTATGTTCATGTTTGCAATTCAGGGACTGCCCTTTTAAATTTGTTTTTCTCCCACTCCTGCCACTCTCCCCGCAACTCTTAACTTTAAACTGCCTTTTTTCAATCATGGAACTTTTAGAGCAATTATATTTTACTCTGATTTCTTAATTTGGTGAATGTTTACATTTTAAAGAGTAGTATGGTGTATTCCTTCAACATTTTATATTTGGCTTCTGCTAAACAGTCACTTTTTAATCTTTTTTTTTTGTTGTTGAGAAGGAGTCTCACTCTGCCACCCAGGCTGGAGTGCAGTGGCACGATCTTGGCTCACTGCAACCTCCGTCTCCCAGGTTCAAGTGATTCTCCTGCCTCAGCCTCTTGAGTAGCTGGTATTACAGGCATGCGCCACCATGCCCAGCTAATTTTTGTATTTTTAGTAGAGACAGGGTTTCACCATGTTGGCCAGGATGGTCTCAATCTCTTGACCTCGTGATCTGCCCGCCTCGGCTTTCCAAAGTGCTGGGATTACGGGCGTGAGCCACTGTGCCCGGGCCACATATTTCATTTATATAAAGATTTATTCTATCTTTGTAATGCTACATGGATAAATTACAATAATATTTTAAAGTCTTACACATACAAAAACACTTATATCCCTAAGGTTTTAGGGACTAAGATACCCACACTTGTTATACAGTAACTGCTTCTGTGGTATAGATTACATTTTGGCAAGGAAGAAACTTCCATTTCTCTAGGAAGAGGAGGTGTAGGACATGTTGGGCATGTCAGTCCTTAACACTGAGACAGGATCCCCTGATAATCTTTTTATCCCATTATAGGAGAAGGTTGACAGAAAAGCTTCTAGCAATCCTGACCTTCATTTGAACAGGGCAACGGTAAGACCTTTGGGGTATAGTCATCTGAGGGTCAAATAAATAAGACACCTAGGTCTTAGCTTGTGAGGATAACGGAGTGTGCATAGGGACACAGACTGGGTACAGACTGGGTACAGACTGCGAGAGGAAAGCCGTGCTGTTCTATAAACAGCTAGCTCGGTTTGGCTTCAGTATCTGGTGTAGTCACTGGAGGGAAAGGAGAAGGGGCTGAGGAGGTAGAAGAATATGTAGACAATGGGGGCATCTTTCAGAAGACTTCTGAAATGTTAAGTAAATATAAAGGTCAAGTGACCCAAGGTATACAACTTAACTATTTTAGAGTTTGGAAATTAGCTTCTTTAAAATGATTCCATCTTTGGGATTGTGATCATCTTGGCTAGGAAGAAGGATATAAGGTGTTACCAGCTCTTGAGGCTGTTTATTATAGCACAGGAAAATAACCAGGAAGGAAAACAGTTTATTTCTCTAGATTCCTAGTCCATGGTGCCATTATTCCCTCGGGATAGTTTGTTTGGATATACTTATAATTGGGATATACTTCTTGTACAGTTGCATAAATATGAAGAGAGCTATGGGGAGGCCCTGGAGGGCTTCTCTCGGGCTGCTGCCCTGGACCCTGCCTGGCCAGAGCCCCGGCAACGAGAGCAACAACTTCTGGAATTCCTGGATAGATTAACCAGCCTCCTTGAGAGTAAGGTAAACATGTCTAAAGGGCTGAATTCTACTTTTTTTTTTTTTTGCTGTGGGTCAATAAAATAAGAATAAATAGGTTTAGGAGGTCGTGACCCTATAGAAGTGGGTGGGAGGGAAGGATTAGAGTCTCAAGGAAGGCGACTAGTTTCCAGCTTCTTACCTATTTCCTCTTCTTTGTAGGGAAAGGTGAAGACCAAAAAGCTGCAGAGCATGCTGGGAAGCTTGCGCCCAGCCCATCTAGGCCCTTGCGGTGATGGGCACTACCAGTCAGCCTCTGGGCAGAAAGTGACCCTGGAGCTCAAGCCACTGAGTATGCTTCAGCCTGGGGTGAACAGTGGTGCCGTCATCCTGGGAAAGGTGGTGTTTAGCCTTACCACAGAAGAGAAAGTCCCCTTGTGAGTTTCTCTTGGATTTCCCCCATTTTACCCTTTTGAACTAATTGCTGTCACTTCCTGTTCTTTCCCTGGCAGTTGAGGAGATTGTCAGTGGTCACAGATTTGTGACTTCTGATTTCCTTCTGTGACTGTCCCATGGGCAGATATTGCCTAGGTGATGTTTAACAATCTTTTGATCAGAGGCTTTTGTAGATTCTGTCACTGTCCGTTTTTTATCCCTGAGTTTGGTGCTATGTGAGTTCCTATATCCATAGTTGAAATTTGGCAGGACTTTTTTTTTATAAGACAGAAACCTCAAAATTCTTCTGTCCCTTTGCATTTTCATGATCATAGAAGTTGAAGGAGGACAAATTCTTAGTCCTGTTTGTACTTAGGTGTACTTAGGCAGTTCTGAAAAGTGAGCTTTGAGTTATAATTTAAAGTCTGGTTGGGAGATTGTCTTAGATGTCATTCAACAAATATTTGTTGAGTGTGCAGTATATGTGTCATAGGGAGTGAGAAAAAAGAAATGTCAGGCTGGGCGCGGTGGCTCAAGCCTGTAATCCCAGCACTTTGGGAGGCCGAGATGGGCGGATCACGAGGTCAGGAGATCGAGACCATCCTGGCTAACACGGTGAAACCCCGTCTCTACTAAAAAATACAAAAAACTAGCCGGGCGAGGTGGCGGGCACCTATAGTCCCAGCTACTCGGGAGGCTGAGGCCTGAGAATGGCGTGAACCCGGGAGGCGGAGCTTGCAGTGAGCTGAGATCGCGCCACTGCACTCCAGCCTGGGCAACTGAGCGAGACTCCGTCTCAAAAAAAAAAAAAAAAAAAAAAAAAAGAAATGTCAAGGACCCAGGTGCAGGTGCTGCTAGCAGTGGAGGAAATGAATTAAGAATATTTATTTACAAAATTTTTGGATCTTGAAAAGTTAGGGTTTAGTGAGTGCCACCACTCCTTGGTCCTTCACTCACTTCCTAATCCCTGGTTGACTGGTTTCCCCTTTCTCTTTTCTACTGAAATTATTATTTTCCTAGGATCACCATTGTCTTTCTAGGCACTGGATCCAGCAACTTCTATTGCATGGTTCCAAAACATTCTGACTTATCTGTAACTATTGCCTTTCACAGTTGCCTTCTGTTCCATCTAAACGGAAATATTCACAATTCCCATTATATGGCCCAGCTTTCTCCATGGCGTTTTCTAGGGGTTTGTGTGTTTGATGAGTTGAAGGGCAAAAAGGTAGCTGAGAACAGTTTAGTTAACTAGGGCAAATCCTAGAGCTGAGAAGAATTAGAAAGGGATATAGACAAAGGTAGGTTTTAGAAGACCTTGAGAACAAATAGATATTTTGCCACTCCTTGGTTTCTCTTTTTCTGCCCAGCTTTTAAATCTTAGATTCTCAGGACTCTTTTTGTTTTTTTCCTTTTTTTCTCTTTATACCAGGATGGCCTATAGTTGCCAACTTTGATCACTTGTCAGTGGTTGCCTGACATACTATGTAGAAGGATTCTGAGGCTTTGACTGGATTCATCAGGAGAGTGCTTTGCTTGATTGCAATGTTTCCTGTGAATTCAGGTGTGTCACGTGATGGCATGAGTGTGATTCTTCTCCATCCTGTCTATAAATCATCTTGCCTTGTGATGTCGTATAAACCCAAGGCTTTGGCAGCCTCCTATATGCTCACAGATGTATCTCCAGCCCAAGCTTCATTTCCAAGTGTTGGATCCCTATAACCAACTGCCTCTGGGTTCCAATAAGAAATCTCTAACTCAGTATTTCAGTATTACTCACCTAAATCTTTCTCTGTAAATCTGTTTCTCCTCCCTGGATTCCTTGTGAATGAATGGTATCACCTCTCAGTCACTTGATTAAGACTTTTGGAAGAATAGGCTTCTCCATTCTCCAAAAAGATTTGCCTTTTTTGTCCTATAGACTTGACTTCTCTGTGTTTACCACCTTAATTCACCCCTTTATCACTTCTCCAAACAGGTCTCCCTGATTCTCTGGTTTCCTCCAGTGTTCCACAGTGCTGCCAGAGAAATGTTTCTTAGATGTAAATCTGACCATTGCTACTTCTTATTTAAGATTCCTTGCTGGTACTATATGTAGCTTTTGGGATAAAGTGTGAACTACTTAGCTTAGCATACAAAGTCCTTCATGGTTTGCTTCCTACTTCTCTTTCCATTATCTTCTGTCTCTTTCCCACCTGTGCCTTTTGTTTCAACCACGGAACAATTTTGTTGGTTTTAGAACAGCTGTTTTCATGCCTCTGTGTCTTGCATACAGTTACTCTGCCTGGATAATCTCTAGCTTCTTCTTGACATGGCTAACATCCTCTTCTGCCTCTAACATTTTGTTTCAAAAATTTTCAAACATACAGCTAAGTTGAAAGAATTTTACATTGAACATTTGTGTTCTCAATCACTTATATTCTTCCATTAACATTTTATTTTACTTAGCTTATTATGTATCGGTCTGTTTATCCTGCTGTCAGAGTAAATTGTAGAGATCAATATACTTTACATACTTTAGCATGCAGTCATTAACTGAGTTCAGTATTTCAATTTTTTCTTTTTATGTAAAATTTACATACAATGAAATGTGCAATTTTAAGTGTACATTTCATAGCTTTTAACAAATGGAAAATATCTGTATAACCCAAACAGAGATCATTACCACCATTCTGGGAAGTTCCCTCATGTTCCCTCCAAGGCAATCTCTGTTCCTGTCCCCTCAGAGGTTTTTAAAATTTTTACTGAGGATTAATTTTTCTATTTTAACCCAGCTGGTTTTTTACCCTTTAAGATTCACTTCGAGCATCACCTCTTCCAGGAAATCTTTCCTGCTTTCCAATTTTGATTTAGATAGTTCTCCTCTGGGCTCCCACAGTCCAATCTGTGGCTTCACTGAATTCAGCACAAGGGAAAAGCTATTCTAGCACCCATCACACTTTACTGTAAGTGATGACTTCATTGTTTGACTCCTGCTAGACTATAGGTCATTCATAGCTGGATTGGTATCTTACTGCTAAACACAATGCTTGGCACATATGTAATGTTTGGTGAAAGTTTGTGGAATTAAACTACACAGACAGTGATGGTTAGAGGCTTTGGTTAAGAGCATGATAGTTGGCTGGGCGCGGTGGCTCACGTCTGTAATCCCAGCACTTTGGCAGGCCGAGATGGGCGGATCACGAGGTCAGGAGATTGAGACCATCCTGGCTAACACAGTGAAACCCCGTCTCTACTAAAAATACAAAAAAAAAAAAAAAACAAAAAACAAAACTAGCTTAGCTGGGCGTAGTGGCGGGCGCCTATAGTCCCAGCTACTGGGGAGGCTGAGGCAGGAGAATGGCATGAACCCGGGAGGCGGAGCTTGCAGTGAGCCGAGATCGCGCCACTGCACTCCAGCCTGGGCGACTGAGCAAGACTCCATCTCAAGAAAAACAAACAAAAAACCAAAAAAGAGTATGATAGTTAAATTGATGGATCAGGAATAATGTTACAACTGTAACATTTTGGTCTAGTTCTTCATTAATATTTGTTGAATGGCTTCAGTGTGCTTTGTCCTAAGTTCTTAGCAAAGTGACAGATTGATGAGTTTCAGAAAAATGAAGACTCAGATGTACAAAGTGGAGGATGGTGCCTCTGATAGGTTTTCTGAGTAACTGAGAAAAAGCATTTGTTTATTTTGTTAGTATTTTATTTTTAAACTTTAATTAAATTAAATTTTATATTTTATTTTAATTACCTGTCACTGACTTTAAGTCCAGTATTTTGCTAGTATTTTTAAACCACTCTTTCTGCTCTTCTTTCCTGCCTGCATACCTTTTTGTTGTCCTCTCTCCTAATCTATCTTTACCTGGCAGTACATTTGGCCTGGTAGATTCAGATGGACCTTGCTATGCAGTGATGGTGTACAATATAGTGCAGAGCTGGGGAGTGCTCATTGGAGACTCTGTAGCCATCCCTGAGCCTAACCTGCGTCTTCACCGAATTCAGCACAAAGGAAAGGTGAGCGATGGCGAGGATTCTCTTCCAACTCATAGGCTCTAAAAGTAGAACCAAGCTTATCTTTTTATAAAAGATATAGAAATAATTATATGTGAGTATGTGTGTAGGTTATGTGTATATATATTTGTGTGTATATGTTATATATATATATTGTTTTTTACTAAAAAGGTAAACTGGTAAGCAAAAACATAAAAAAATGGAGTGAAATATTGTCACTCAGGTGTTATATTATCACTCAGATGTTACTACTTTTTAACTGTTACTGTTAACAGTTTGATGTATATACCTGAAGTCTTTTTTCTTTTCATAAATATATGCACATATATTTATATCTATATTTTAAATCATGAGTGGGATATTATATGCCAATGTTTGTGAATGTTTCCTATGTTTTTACATATTTCACACATTGAGTAGACAGGGGGTGATGAAGATGGTAATGATAGTTAACATTCATTTAACACTTAATTGAGTGCCAGACACTGTGCTAAGATTTTTTATTGCCTGCCTTGCCCCATTCAGTTCTTACAAAAACCTTATGAATGTAGATATTTAACCACTGTTTAACCATTTAGATCAGGGGTTGGCAAAGCCCATGGACCAAATCTGGCTCACTGCTTGTTTTTATTAAGAATGGTTTTTAGGCTGGGCATGGTGGCTCATGCCCAAAATCCCAGCACTTCTGGAAGGCCAAGGTGGGGGGATCACTTGAGCCCAGGAGTTTAAGACCAACCTGGGCAACACATAGTGAGACCCTGTCTCTACAAAAAAATGTTAAAAACTTAGCCAGGTATTGCAGCACATGCCTGTAGTCCCAGCTACTGAGGAGGTTGAAGTGAGAGAACCACTTTATCCCAGGAGTTTGAGGCTACAGTAAGCCATCATTGTCTCATTGCATGCCAGCCCGGGTGATAGAGATAAGTCTTTGCCTCAAAAAAAAAAAAAAAAAAAAAAAAAAAAAAAAAAAAAAAAAAAGAGAATGGTTTCTGTGCTCTTAAATGAAAAAATTGACAGAAGCATAATATTTTGTGATGTGTGAAAATTACAGGAAATTCAGATTTCAGTGTCCACAAATAAAGCTTTATTGGAACACAGCCACACTCATTTGCTTACTATTGTCTGTGGCTGTTTTTGCACTGTGGTGTCAGAGGTGACTTGTTCCGTAACAGAGACCATTTGACCTACAAAGCCTAAAATATTTACTATCTGGCCCTTTACAGAAAGACTTTGATGACCTCAGATCTAGATTAGTAGTTTTATAATAGAAAAAAAATTAGAAACACAGTGAAGATTTTTATATCTTTGCTTGTATCTGTGATTATTTCCTTAAATGAATTTCTAATGCAGAGTCCTGGGTCCAAAGGGTATGCAGAATTCGGATGCTTTTGATACATATTGCCAAATATTTCTTTGGAAAATTGTACTAGTTAGTTGTCACTACCAACAGGGATGTAAATAAGTGTTTCTCTAGTTTTTTTCTCAACTCTGGTTGGAAACCTTTGAAAAGTTGTTTCCTAATTTTACATGAAAAATATAGCATGAATATTGTTTTAATTTGTATTTCTTGTTTAAATTGCCATTTTTTGGTGTCACTTGTCGATATTTCTGTGACGACTTAAAAAAATTGGTTTATGAGAACTTTTAAATTTACTTGGACTTAAAAGAGCCTGCCTCTCATTGCCATATTTTTTGGAGGAAGATTATTTAACATGTTTTACAACTTAAAATACACTTGAACTGATAAAGTGAGCTGATATCCTTTTTGTGATTAGGAAAACGGCTACATTCTGTTACATATTCTATTTCCTTCTCTTGATATAAAAAAGAGAAGTAACTTTAATTTGTATTTGGTGGATTAAATCAGGATCTTATAAACAATTTGGACTGAGATTTTCTCAGGATTCCCACTGGCTCTGGCTGGCTGCTGTGTGTATCTAGTTAATTATCAGGAAATACCGTGGGAAAAGGCAGATTCTGTGCGAGCTGGTTGCATTCTTTTGTTAGGCAATGCCAGGAACTTGCCTTTTTTGAATCAGAGAGCTGTCTTATTCTTGTAGTGGCACTGCATGACCTTACATGCTCCATGTTTTCCTTCTGAAGACTGAAAACTTTGGGAAAATTTCATCCCCTTTGTTAGCTCAGTTTTGTCTGATGTGAGATGAAAGTAGAGGGAGTATGCAGTGAGGGAGGTGGTGCAGAAAGTTGCAAGTGGTGTATCCCCATGCTAGAGCTTTTTCCATCTTGGAATCTGTAATGAACCTTTGTCTGTCTTTTCTAGGACTATTCCTTTTCCAGTGTTCGAGTGGAGACGCCCCTCCTGCTGGTGGTGAATGGGAAGCCTCAGGGATCCAGCAGCCAGGCTGTTGCTACAGTGGCATCGCGACCACAGTGTGAATGACCTTCTTTGACTTGTGTGCTCAACAGGGACTGGAGGAGAGGGGCCAAGGCCCTGTGCAGTTGGTCCAGCCACATCCAGTGATTCAGCAGGAATGGGAGGAATGTTTTAAATGAACTTTCCTTTTCCCTGCCTGTATTACGCTTCGTATCTCTTCTCTCTCCTCTGTCCTCATCATGTTCCAGCTCTCTCCAGGGCCACATACTCTTCTGGCATATCTCTGCTGTCTCTTCCACTGCTCTCTATGTTTTAAGCAAAGAGCATGGAATTGGTAGAAGTCTTGGGATCTTGCCATGGGACACAGTCCCCAAGGTTCCTGTTGTTGCCTCCTTCCTAAGCCTCATATGTATATATCAGTTCAGTATTTATTGCTAAAGGAAGGGGCTTAATTTTATAATGGCTTTGTTTTTAGCAATTTTTATTGTTATTTTTAAAATTTAGGTCCTTCCTCTTCTTTGGGGCTGGAACAGAATAAATTTGTTTGGAACAAAAAATACTGTGTAGTTTGGCCTGCTTTATTCTCCCTAGGCTTGTATTCTTGGTTTTAGGATCACTTCAATTTATGGGAGTAATAATCCCGTTTTTTTCTTTATACAAAGTAGTTTATTTCTCTCCCAGTTAAAAGAATTCCGACAATAAACAGCTCAGGGCAGGAATGGCAACTCCACAAAGTTGCTAGAGACCGGCTTTCTTCCATTTTCCCATTCTGTCATTCCCTAGGGGTGGTCTTCACTGTGGTCCGAGATGACAGAACAATACTGTTCTAATAGTGTTACTAGGCTGAAGGATCAGAGAGAGTTAGATGGATATTCAGTTTCTTTAGAGTCTAGTGACATGTTTTATAACAGTTTATTGTAATATCCTTGTGGTAAAATGGAGAAATGTGAGTGAGGATTAATAACCAATTGAATTAGCCGGGTACAGTGGCTCACGCCTGTAATCCCAGCACTTTGGGAGTCCGAGGTAGGTGGATCACGAGGTCAGGAGTTCAAGACCAGCCTGGCCAAGATGGTGAAACTCTGTCTCTACTAAAAATACAAAAATTAGCCGGCGTGGTGGCAGGCATCTGTAATCACAGCTACTGGGGAGGCTGGGGCAGAGAATTGCTTGAACCTGGGAGGTGGAGGTTGCAGTGAGCCAAGATCACGCCACTGCACCCCAGCCTGGGTGACAGAGCAAGACTCCGTCTCAAACAACAACAATAAATAACTGAATGGCTATAATACATAAATGTATACAGATGAATTCAGAAGACTTCTAGTGAAATGACTCAGATCTTTGTTCTTGGTCCAGTGCTGTTCAGTTCTTTATCAGTACCTTGAATATCATTGATGACTCATTAAATTTATAAAGAATGCAGAGGCCTCCTCAGAGAATGGATGATAGTAACCCATTGATGAGAAAAGTTTATCTATCTATCTATCTATCTATCTATCTATCTATCTATCTATCTGAGAAGTCATAAAGGCTGAGTCTAATAAGATAAAATTTTCAGTCCATTCTTTTGGTTCAAAAAGGCTAACTTTCTCAGGTATAGCTTCAACATCATGTATGAAAATTACTAAGAATTTTAGTAGATAAGCTAAAGTCAGTTTGAGTAACCAGTCTGATATAGTTTGTAAAAACACTGTGAACTGCACCAAAAAAACTTGTGGTAGCAAGAGACAGTTTTTATTACAAGTACTGTCTGTTGTATCACATATGGAGTGTTAATTTAGTTTTGGGTGTCATTTTGAGGCCTACAGTCATAGAAGAGTGATTAGGAGCTTGTGGGGCATAAAAATATCTTGAGAAATGACTGAAAGCAACTAGGGAAGATGGGGATAGTAGTGTGTGTAAGCATTTGAGGCAGTAGAGATGTGGGACCCAAGTACTGTTCCCGTTTTACTCAAGTTCTGAGATGAGTTGACATGTTCTGTGTAGGGCTAGAGAGTAGAAAAATGGCCAGTAAGTGGTAGCCAGAGAGAATCAGTGCATACAAACAAGTAAGTATGAAAAATTTGTACATATGGTTTCAGGAATAACTAGAATACCCATAAAATATCTACCTGCCTTAAAAACTAGAACATCACTGATAACTTAGAAGCCCTTGTGTACCTCTCTGTGATCTCATTTGTCTTCACAGCTATATAATATCTCATTGTATGATTATACCATAATTTGTTCATCCTATTGTTAAAGGATATTTGGGTTTCCAGTTTTTCGTTTTTTACTATCAAAGCACTACATTATTAATATTCTTGTAGATGTCTTGATATGTAAGTGCAACAGTTTCTTCTACAGCAATGGTTCTTGAAGAGTGGTTCCCAGAGCAGCAGCATCAGCATCCCTTGGGACTTCTTTGAAATGCAAATTCTCAAGCCCCCTACCCAGACTTACTGAATTCAAAACTCTGGGGGAAGAGCCCAGCAATCTGTATTTAGCGAACCCTCCAGGTGATTCTGATGCACACGAAAATTTGAGAACCACTGTTTAAGAGTATTGACATAGAATGGAATTGCTGGATCATAGAGTATATACATGTTCAGCTTTTTTGAGAAGCACTAAGCATTTCCAAAGTGTTTATATTAGTTTATGTCTCTACTATCAATAGATGAGTCACCCCAATGCTCCCCATCCTCTTCTGTGCTTGGTATTATCTTATGTTTTAGGTATTGCAAATACAGGAGATTTGAGTATTATTTCCTTGTGGCCTTCATTTGCATTTCTCTGATTATTAATGAGCTTGAGCATCTTTTCGTATATTTACAAGCCACTAATATTTTCTCTCGGTATAATGCCTATTTGTGTCTTTGCACACTTCTGTATTGGATGTCAAATTGATTTATATATTCCCTGTACTAATCTTTTGTGATTTTATGTGCTGTATACAGTTTTATCTTGTTTTTTATTCTATTGGGTCTTTTGCTGAATGGAAGTTCTTAATTTCAATGTCATTGAATTTATTCATTTTTTATGGTAATACCTTTTGTGTTTTAAGAGGTTTTTAGCTCTCCTAAAGTCATAAGGACATTTTCCCTCTATTGTTTTATGAAGTTATATCATTTTGTCCTTTTCTTACAGTATGACTTTATGTTATGATGTACGGATATAATTTTTTTCATAATGAGTAATTAAATAGCTCAGCACTTTTTATTAGAGAATCAATCCTTTCCCTAATGATCTTTAAGGCCCAGTCTGTCTTAAACCAACTTTCTATCTCTCTCTTTCTCTCTCTCCCTACCTGTCTTTCTGTCTGTCCATCCATCCATCCATCCATCCATCCATCCATCCATCCTTCCACCCACCCACATACACTGATCTTTAAAGCCCAGCCTGTCTTAACCAACTTTCTTGAGTTCTCTATTCTTTTTTTTTTTTTTTTTGAGACAGAGTCTCACTCTGTCACCCAGGCTGGAGTGCAGTGGCGCAATCATAGCTCACTGCGCCTTGACCTCCCAGGCTCAAGCAATCCTCTCACCTCAGCCTCCCAAGTTGTTGGGACGACAGGCATGTGCCACTATCCCTGGCTAATTTTTTAAAAAGATATTTTTTGTAGAGATAGGATCTCACCATGTTGCTCAGGCTAGTCTGGAACTCCTGAACTCAAGTGATCCCTCAGCCTCGGCCTCCCACAGTGTTGGGATTACAGGCATGAGCCACCATGCCTGGGCCTCTATTCTGATCTGTTCTGCTCTGTTTATTTTTATGCAAGTACTATATTGCCTTACTGTTTTATAAGAAGTCAGTATCTTTGGGAGGCCGAGGTAGGTGGATCACCTGAGGTTGGAAGTTTGAGAGCAGCCTGACCAACATGGAGAAACCCCGTCTCTACTAAAAATACAAAATTAGCCTGGTGTGGCAGTGCATGCCTGTAATCCCAGCTACTCAGGAGGCTGAGGTAGGAGAATTGCTTGAACCCAGGAGGCAGAGGTTGCAGTGAGCCGAGATCACACCATTGCACTCCAGCCTGGGTAACAAAGAGTGAAACTCTGTCTCAAAAAAAGAAAAAAAAAATATCTAATCAGACAAGTTTTTTTTTTTTTTTTTTTTTGACACAGAGTTTCACTCTTGTTGCCCAGTCTGGAGTACAATCTTGGCTCATTGCGATCGCACCATGGCACTCCAGCCTGGGCAACAAAAGCAAAACTCCATCAAAAAAAAAAAAAAAAAAAAAAAATTTAATCAGGCAAGAAAAGAAATGAAAAGTATACAAATAGATAATGAAGATGTAAAATTATCTGTATTCT